GCCGCAGCAGGCAGTGTGGGTGGGCACGTCCCCGCAGCACAGTGCCACCAGCACCTGCACAGCAGCGTCCCCGCAGGAGCTCTCGCACTGACAGCCCGCGGCTGCTGGGGACAGCGCCGTGCCACCAACATGCAGCGCGGCCAGAGCTGTGCAGCTGCCAGGAACATGCCGCTCTGATCTCTCACAGCCCCGAAATCCTGCCTGGCACCACGCCAGGCTGCCAGGGGTATTTTAAGACTTGGGATTTAAATGGCAGACGGGAGCAAGCGGCACCAACACCCTCAGAAGGACTGCACAGGCTGGTGGCTCGTCCCCTGACAGCTCACACCGTGTCCTCCGAGCCCCCCTGCTCCTCCCAGCTCCTGGCAATCACCCAACCCTGACAGGCTGAACACGGCACAGCCCTGGCCACAGCCCCAGAAGGGGACAGGGATGACAACAACCAGCCAAGCCCTGGGTGGATGAGCTACTCCCTGGGGTCTCTCCACCCTTGCCCACTTACCTGCCCCTCCATGACCGGCGACCCCTCCAGGCACTGCTGCAGGTCACGCTTCTCTGCTGACAGCATCTCCACGAGCTGGTTGCTGGCAGCCAGCTCTTGGGTCAGCTCTTCGATCCTCCTGAAAGCCACAAAAGGGCACGGGATGCTCAGGGACTGGGATGGCCATGGGATGACACTGGGGACAGCTGGCAAAGGTCAATCTCTGGGGCAAAGCAGAGCAGCCTCGGGACTGCTCCCCCCTCTCCCACAGACCAGCTCTTGCCCATTGCATCCCACCAGATATGCACTGCCCCTCAGTCATGCACATCACAAGCTCCTCGGTAGTCCCCAAGAACAGGCACAGCACACAGGCTGGCAGCATAGAGGAGACATGTCTGGGACACCTACCTCTGGGCCATGGAGCCACAGCCATTGTCGCTGCTGTCCTCCTGCTTTGTTCTCGCTGCTTCCTTCAGCTTCCCTGTCAGCTCCCGGCATCTCTCCGCCTCAGCTCTGGCCAGTGCCGTGGCCTGCTCGGCCTCACTGCGTGCCAGCCTGGCCTCCTGCATGGCAGCAGGGTGAGCCCCCAGGCAGCAGCTCTGCCTCCTGCCTGGCCCCACCATCCCCTGAGACTCACCTCCTGCAGGAGCTGGATCTTGTTCTCCAGGAGCTCGTAGACGTGCTCCGACTCCCGCTGCCGCTCCTCGTACTGCTGCCGGAGCACAGCCTGGCTGCGGCTGGTCTGGCTCTCTGCAGCCACCCTGCTGGGCACAGCACCGTGTGCCACAGCCTGCTATGGCATGGCATGGCACAGCACAGTGTGCCACAGCCTGCTATGGCATCTCCTGGCATAGCACGGTGTGCCACAGCCTGCTACGGCATCTCCTGGCACAGCTTGGTGTGCCACAGCCTGCTATGGTATGGCATGTCCCATGCCATGGCCTGGCACAGCACAGTGTGGCTTGGCAGTGTGCAGCATGGCACAGCATGGCACAGCACAGTCTTTGTGACAGCCTCCACCCCAAACCAGCTGGGCTGGCTGATCTGTACCACTCCAGGTGCCCTCAAGCCTGGCTGCCCCCCCCATGTCCTGCCCAGGGGACACCGCTCCTCTGGCAGCACCAAGCCGTATTTAGGCTCTGACCCACCACACACTCCCAAAACCAGGGCCTCACAACTGCTGTGCCACTGGCCCCTCTGCCATCGGTGCCCCACGGTGAGACACCCATGCCATGGCCTCTGGGCATGGCACTGCCCTCCCCCCCCCAAACAGGTGCTGTTCTTTATTTTTGGCTGGCGCCAGGGCTGTAAGAGGAGCCCTGTGGGTGCCCAGCCCCATTGCAAACCCCTCCAGCCCCATTGCAGGTGTCTCTACTGCCTGCTACGGTCAGGGTACAGGCAGACATCCCCTGTGTCCGTGCCCACAAAACCACCACAGGCAGGGCATGAGCACCATGTCTGCCCCGGGCTGAGGGGCTTGGCCAGCCCCACTCACCATGTGTTGTCCAGGGCTTGTTGCTTCTCCTGCAGCTCCCGTTTCAGGCTCTCCACCTCCACCTTCAGCTCGATGTTCTATGGAGCAGGAAGGAGGTGGGTAGGATGCCCTCAGGCTTGCGTGGACACCCCACCCCACTGCAATGAAGAAGTGGCATGGGGGACCCCCCTGCCATGGCAAGGCTTTGGGTGCTCCTGTCAGTGAGTGGCACAGGTGGCATTTTAGCCTGTCGGCTCCGGGATGGGGTGTACCCACTCCATCTGTGTGCCACAAACTTGCACTGTCACCCACTCCGGGCTGGGGACGCCCTCCCCAACCCTCTCCCCGCTCCTGTCAGAGGAAACGAAAGGCAAACTCCCAACAGCAGCTCGGCCAGCCCCAGTGCTCGAAGCCCTCCCTGGCATCCCCCCCGGCTACACTCCCCCGACCCCATTCCCTCCCAGAAAAGAGAGGAAACCTCCTCACCCCGTCCCCTCCAGGCACTCACCCGCCGGTAGACATCGTCGCGGCTGTCCTCGCCCTTCTGCTGGACGCGCTCCTCCAGAAAGTAGATGCGGAGCTTGAGGCTGAAATTCTCCTTTTTGAGGTCATTGAGGTGCTGCGAGAGCGTGCGGTACCCGTTAGCCATGGCCGGCGCTCCATGAGGCGGGCATCCCGGCACCCCTCACNTTTCCTTCCCCTCTCCCTCCCTCTCTCTGCCCTCTCCCTGATCCGTCTGTCCATCCATCCTTAATCTCTCCAGCCGCCCCCACCCAGGCACCATCCTGTCCCGGCTGACACATCCACCTCCCCTCCCCAATTCCCCACTCGGCCCAGTCCCTCTGGACTGAGCCCCAGCCCTTCCTCACACTTCAGTCCCCCAGAAACAATCCATGATCCCTTCCTCTCCCCTCTCAATCCTTCTTCCAACTTCACAGTCTCCCCAGTTAGCCAGGATCTCCCATGGCACCCTCAAACATCAATCCTGACACCCTGATTACCTGCCCAGTCATCCTTGGATGCCTCCATCCTAACGTGCCATCCTCAATTCCCTTTGCCACCCCAGAACCCCATGAGTCCCAGGTACTGTTCCAGTCCCTCAACACCCTCACTTTCCTTCTAATTGTCCATGACTTCCCAGTTGTCTACTGGGACATTCATTGAACTCCTACCATCCCAGCCAAACACCCCCAATCTCCCTCACCCCTTTCCTCTTCTTTGCCACTCCCCATCCCAGCTCCAATAACCCCAGTCCCCTTTGACACCCCCAACTCCTTTACCTGCTGAACACCCTAGTCTCGGGTTTTCTGTGGTTGAAATGGCTTCCAAGGTATTAAAAAGTTTTTTTTTCCCAGCCCCACAACTGAAGAAGAAGTCGAGATTCCTCGGCTCTACTTTTCAAGGTTGTTTATTTTTCCTTATCTGTTCCATTCTCTCTCTGCCCTGCTGAGATCTGTCCAGCAGGTCAGGTTGTATTACAGTCCCTGCCCTTGGGATGGTGTCGCCTTTTTATACTAAGAACTACGTGTGCTTTATTTACAATAATTTTCCAATACCTATCACCTATGTTAGACAGCCTGTCTCTACTCTAAACCAATCCAGAAGTGTCATCATCCCAGCAGAAGATGGAGGACAAGAAGAAGGAGAAGAAGGACAGGACATGCCCAGATTCCTCCATCTTGCTTCTTGAACCCCCATTCTAAATCCCCAAAATTCTAGTTTTTCACCCTGTGACAAATTAACCATCATTCTACTCAAACTCTTGTGGCTTGTAAACCTTCACACAAAGTTGGTAATTGTTTCCATGGGCTAAAATCAAAGGCACAGGTGTTTGTGACTCTGTGCCAAGGTCTCTGAGCCCCTTGCCAGGGTCTGGAATCACCCAGGGCAGCCAGAGGGATGTCCTGGGTTCTGACACCCCAATAGCAGCACTGCCCCTGGCTGCTCCCCCAGCCCCATTCTCTCTGCAGGGACCCTCCCCCTAATTCCCTGCTGCTTGGCCCCATTCTCCTCTGTCCTGCACTGCCACAGCCCTTCAAGCAGCTGTCCCCACGGCCACCCACCTGCCACCAAGCAGAGTCTGTCCTTGTGTGGCATGATGACCAAGGAGCCAGGCAAGGGCTCAGGGTTCCTCTCCATAGCCTCTGTGTTACCTGTGTGAATGCAGAACCACAGAGCTGGTGGCAAGAAAGAAGGAGGAGGTGCTGTGGTGATGGGGTGATTCTGCTTTGGCTCTGACAAGTGGATCAAAGTCGTATGACCAGAAATTTGGAGGACACGGTGGCCAAAAAAAGTAACTTTTGTCTGATTAAGGGTCATTTAAATATTAACACATGTGCCCTGCATATGCTAATAAGCTTAATGGTACATGGTACCACATCTGTAGCTCCATACTCAGGTTGTGCTCTGCATAACATAGGAGTAAGGGGAGAAGTTTGGGCTGGATATAAGGAGGGTAGGAATTTTACCTGATTAGGAGGAAAACCCAAAAATACCTGAGAGACAGAATGGGCTACTCTCCTCTCCCTCCTCCCTAGTGGGGACACCTTCATGGTTATTTATTATTATCATTGTTATTATCACCACACAATATTATTTTTATTGTTAAAACTCAATTGCAGCTGGCGCCTTTATCACCAGCAATTCTGTATCTGTATTTCTGCTGCTTCCACAAACTGCACTATTCATGAATCTGTGATTAGGAAGGTTTTTATGGAATGTGACCAAACCTATGGTGTTGAATTAATCAGCTGCACTATTTGTGAAGCTGCACTCGTGGATATTCCTACTGAACACAACCTATAGTGCCAAATTGGTTATACTCAGAAATTCAGCTCAGCTGTCCCCAGCCCTCTGATCTGTGAGGAGCAGCTGGAACACAGGTGCGTTTATTTTCTGCCAAATTCCTTACTCTAAACGCACCACCTGGTGCAAAGGGGGTCAGCAGAGGGGTGTTGTGCCCCTCTATCCCCCTATTTATCCCTTTTGTGACTCATCAGCCACCACAGCCCCAGTCCCTTGGCACCCATCCCGCTGGNGCCTTACCCGCCATGCCTGGGGCTCCGGGCACCTCGGCTGGCACAGTGTCACTGCTGCAGGGTTCCCTGCAGAGAGCAGCACACACAGCCTGTCACACACAGCACCGGGATCCCCCCCTGTGCCACCCTGCGCTGTGACCGGGGTGCCACTGGTGTCTGCACACACGTGGGGACACACGTGTGCCTCCCCACAGCCGCTGGGCAGAGGCTCTGAGAGGCTCTCAGAGACACGAGGCCCTGGGGGCTGTGCAGATGGCAGTGTCCCCTCAGCAGCACTTTAGCTCCATTAGCAGCCCTGTCAGGGCCACCTGAGCCCCCAGAGCAGAGTCCACAGCCCCCAGGGGGGATCTGGGGCACGAGGCTGGGCCTGGCTGCTCTCAGAGGGACCCTGTGCCTCCATGCTGCCATGGCTTTCCAGCTCGTAATTGGGTTTATTTTCAGCTCAGATGTGTGAGTCATTTCATGATTTAAGAGAAAGAAAGAGAAACCCGACAAATAAAAAAAAAAAAAACCACCTGGATTGTTGGGATTTTTCTCCTTTTAAAGAAATCAGAATGTTTATTTTATAATCTCAGCCTGACAGCTTTTTGGTAGGGTCCCAGGGTGGTGGGCACTTGTCCTGGCATCAGTGTGGGCCCACATGCATGAGGCTGAGCCCCAAAAGCCAAGGAGGGCCAGCATGTTCCTGTGGCACAAGCCATGGTAGGGGCCCCGGGACCATGTACCCAGAGCCTTGCAGCAAGGGACATTGTCTGTCCAACTTTGCCAGGTGGTTTTCCACTGCCAACCTGGCTGGGAGCAGGAGAAGCAGACACAGGGTGCCACAGACCCTGCAGCAACAACCTGTCATGGAGGGAAACTGAGGCACAACGACTCTAAACACAGCAGCACTAAGGCGTGGCTGTGTGCCCTGCCACACACCACAACCAGTGTGATACCCAGAGACAAAGCACCCAGAGGTTTTGTACCTGCAGGCACAGCACCCAGAGGTGCAGTGCCCAGGGGCATCTTACCCAGAGATGTGGAACCCAGAGGCACCCAAATTTCAATAACCAGAAGTGTGACTCCTGAGGAGATCAAGAGGCACAATATCCAGGGAGCTGTGACCTCTGGAGGCATGACACCCCAGGAGCAACAGTGCCCCAGGTGTGACACCCAGAGGCAAAGCATCCAACACTCAGGATGCACAAGGATGCACAACAATTAAGGAAGCATGGTGCCCAGGGGCATGATATCCCAAGGCATGACATCCCTGGAGGCAAAATACCCAAAAAGGCACATTAACCATAACATGCAAGGCTTGACACCCAGAAGGGCAACACCCAGAGGCACAACAAGCAAGGAGGGATCACAGCCAAACACCTGATGCATAGGGAGACACAATGCCCAGAGACAGAATACCCATCGAGGCAGTACAACACCCCAAATCCTGGGGATGCTGCAGGGTGATGACCAAGGAGCCAGGCAAGGGCTAAGGCTCACCAGCCTACACTGCTAACTTTGCACAGGGAGATGTGCAGCTGACAGAGAAAGGATGAGCTGGGCAAAGGAGGAGGTCCTGTGAGATAGGATTGTCCTGCCCTGGCTCTGAAAAACTGCAGAGTGGAACAAAGTCCTGTGAGTGGAACTTTGAAGGACACCATGGCCAAAAAAGTAGCTTTTTCCTGATTAAGGATTATTTAAATAATGAAACACACAACACTGCATGTGCAAATAAGCCTAATGAAATACATGCTGCCACATAAATTACTCTGTTACTCAACTCTCAATCTAGATCATGCCACATGTAACACAGGAGGAGAGGGATAGGATTGGGCTGTACATAAGGGGGATAAGAATTTCACCTGGTTAGGAGGAAGATCCAAAAATACCTTGGGGACAATCAATGGGCTACTCCTCTCTCCCTTGTCCCAAGCCACGGAAACCTTGCTAAGTTTCTGCATATTATTGTTGTTATTACTTGGCTTAACACAAGTGTGCAGCATCCTGAGAGGGAATAGAATGGGCCCAAAAGTGTTGGAAAAACAACAAGGAAAATCAGAGCACCCTCTCTCCTAAAAAATGGCACATGTAGAATATACTGCTTTGACATCAGAAAAGGAGCAACTTAAAATGTACTTGGCCACAGCTGAAAATAGGGAAAAGCAACTGCAGAAACATTTCAAGGAAGAGAAGGAGAAAAAAAATTGGAAGAAAAGGTAGAGATGATGCTTGTGTATGCTCCTGTTCCCCCTGACATCACAGAGATTAGAAAATGAATCATATTCCCTGAGGAACAGGATGGAGACATATGGGATGACCCAAATGACAGAAAACTGGGGGAAGATGGTTCTTTGTCTCCTTCAAATCCCCCTGAGTATGAAGGCAGATGCATTATAGAAACAGAAGAGACAACTGAGCCTTGGTGAATCGTGGGGAATCACAGCTGGAAAACAATCCCATTCAATCTGATTCGCTTTGAAAAGTGCTGTGGCCACAAACCAGGCTGGACTGAAATTCAGCAGGAGGAATCCTATCAGTGCACACATAATAACAGCCCACACATTCTGATTCCAGGCGGGCCTCCTCAGCTATTAATGCCATTTCTAATAGATAAGGGAACACAAATTCCAGTATTAACAGAGCAGGACACTGAAAAACTGGACAGAGCTGAAATCACTGGAGTGAACAGAGCAAGTGCTACGTGCCAAACCACCAAGGCTGATTTATGGCTGCCAGGCGATAAGCACATGTCCTCCCCTCACTTTGCACAAAAGATCACAATGAAAACATTTTGGGTGTCAATGTTCTGAGCAGCCAAACCTGGCAGCTGATGCAGAGCAACGTTTGGTCCTCCTGTTCAACCCTGACCCTAAAAGAAATCCAGATCCCACATTCACCCTAGAGGTGAATTCACCCTCCCTCACTCAAAAGCTGCTAATGTACCTTATTTAAAAGCTGCTAATGTGTATATTATACATTTTTATGTATATATAAATCAGCTGCAGAGCCCACTCCCCATGTAATTCACTGACTGATAATTCACCAAACTTTCACCCCATGTAATTCACCACTTTGGCTAAAAACTGAATGGAGATGGCAGTTACCTGTTGATTACTGGCACACAGACAGGGTGGGACCAGATTTGGAGAAAAGAGAGATGCCAATGCCAGTGCTGAGCCTTTAACCACTGCTGTGCCAAATATCGAGGAACTGATAGCTTCAGGGAGTGCCCCACCCATGGATGGCAGCCCTGGATGTAAAATATACGTTTTTTGTGATTCCACTCCAGGAACACAACAAGGCTTCATTCACCTTCACCTGGAAGGGAGTGCAGCTTGTTTTTATTAGGCTGCTCCAGGGATATAAACACCCTCCCACTATTGCTCATAAAGCCCTGGCAAAACCTTAGCCACAACCGTGACCCACCAAATGTTACAATATATCAGTAGATCAATAATATCATCATCCTCATCATTGAATCATCCCAGAATGGCCTGGTTTGCACAGAATCTTAAAGATCATCTCCTTCCAATCCGCCTGCCATAAGCAGGGCCATCTTCTACCAGCCAATGTTTCTCAGGGCCCCATCAAGCCTGACCTTGAACACTTCTGGCAATGGGACATCCACAGCTTCTCTGGGCACCTCAGGCCAGGTCTCATCACTCTCACAGTAAAGAATTTTTTCCAACTATCCAATTCAAACCTTCCTCCTGTCAGTTTGAAGCCATTCCCCTTGTCATGTCACTACATGCTCTTGTAAAAAGTCTCCCTCCTTCTTTCTTGTGGGCTGCCTTCAGGTACTGGAAGGCCACAATCAGGTCCCCCTGAAGCCTTCTCTTTTCCAGGCTGAAGAGGCCAAATTGTCTCATAGAGAGAATTCTCTCAAATTCCCTCATAGAGGTGCTCCATCCTTCTAATCAATTTGGTTGGAGAATATCCTTTGGTGGTTTTGCCCACAAAATACTAAAATACCCTTTGGTATTTTACCAATACCCTTTGGTGGTTTCACCCAAAATGTGGGTTTTGGCCACGTTTTTCCTTTTTCACAAGGAAAAATGTGAGCCTTGAGCTGTCCTATATACCAGCATCAGGGGCCCAAGCAGGAGGATGAGTTCCTGTGAGTCTATTGGATTAAAGAAGCCACCTCTGTACTCCTGCAAACCACAGAAAAAACAGAACATGGACAGAATCTACCTAGCATAAATGAGTGACAGCACGTTCTGGGAAATTTAGAATTATTATTAAGACAACTGAAGTTGTCCCATCAGCTTGATCCCATATACCTGTGGTACCATATACCATAAATATATACCATATATATTTATGGGAAATGGGGGTTCAGTGTATACAGTAAAAAGGTACCCAGTTCCCTTTTTAATCTGTGTCAAAAGGGGCTGGAAGAACCAGAGAGAGCAGTAGACATTAGCTGCCACTCTTTCAATGACACTAGAACATGATATTCCTATCTAGAGAAGGGCTTGCTGTCCCTGGTGGAGCAGTGACACAAGCAGAGCAGATAAGGAAAGAACAAAGAGAAGGACAGAGTGAGAGTATCCGGGGGAATACCCAACTGACTGATACCAGGCCGTCCTGTGCTGGTTACAATGCTTCAGACTGGGACCCTGGCAGTGCTCCTAACAACCCAAAAATAACCTTATGTCAGAGAAACAAAATGTGACTGCTCAGGGCCACCCTGAGGCAGGGCCATCCCAGGGCAGTGCCCAGCCAGCCAGAGTGGCAGCCCCGTGCCAGGCCATGGCACTGCTGGGCCAGCAGGAGCCCAGGGCTCTGCCACAGCCGTGGCATGTTGGGCTGAGCGGGGGCTCCCCCCTCGCTGCCCCAACACTGGGAATTTGTTTGCTGTGAAGGGGAGGCCACTGCAGTGCTGCTGGGGCTGCAGGAGGACAAGAGCCCTTTCATGGCAGCCTGGAGCACGGAGCTGAGCTGCCAGCACAGCACAGAACGAGGGGGCTCAGCCCTGGGGCCCCCCACTCGCTGGGCAGCATTGCCCACGCACCCCCAAGCCCTGAGGGGCAGCACATGGCCCTGACTCAGAGCACTGAGCCCTGACTGACTCACAGCATCTCCAGGGCATCACACTGCAGCCATTCCTCGGCACTGCACCCCGGGGTGCCATCGGGAGAGGGGACAGGGAAGGGCTGGCAGCCAGCGCTGTGTCAGAGTGGCTGCTGCCCATGGGGAAAGCATCCTGGGCTAAAGCATCCCCAAAGCACGGGGAGCTAGAACCCAGCAACAGCAACTCACCTCCTTCTGCTGCTGGATCACCTCCCGCGGGGAGACAGACGGACAGAGGGATGGGAGGAGGGATGGACAGCACGCCCAGCCCCCTGCTCAGCAGCAGCCACTGTGTGCCAGCGGCTCCGGGCTGGCAGAGGGGCTGTGCCAAGGGCCGGGAAGGGCCAGGGAGAGCGTGGCAGCTCACATGCCGAGCGTGGCACATCCAGCTCCCCGCTGACTCGCTGGCACAAATGTCTCAGCAGGGGCG